TGTGACGCTGGGTCCCGTGAGTCCGCGGAGCGAGCTGCCAGCTCGTGGGCGAGCCCACGGTCTCTCCGGGAACAGGCCGCCCCGAATCCCCTGCTGTGCCGTCATGCAGTCTGTGTGCGCGACCAAGCGGCCATCGGTCCCTCCCGGAGTGGCCTTCACCGGCGGCTCCAGGACGCAGCCCTGTGTTCGCGGCTGCTCGTGGGGCTGCAGCCTCCCCTCCCAAGGGGCTCCCCGCACCCCAGCCCCCCACCGCGACCTGGGGTGGGCCAGTGTCACCCTCAGAGAAAGCAGGGCCACAGCCTGATGGCTTAGAATGACGGTTAGGAGAGGGTCCCGGGGTCTCCACCCTCTCGGGTCCCCATCCTGGTGGCACCTGAAACAGGTGTTTAATTGGGGACAAATCGCGTCATCTCGCCGAGCCTGGGTTCGCTTTCCGTAAGTGGCGAGAACCTTGGAGATCTCGTGGGGTGGCTGCAGGGGCCACAGGCACTAAGATTGCGTCAGGACCACGGTGGCATTGTCGGGTCGTCCAGCTGGGCGGGGCCCACAGGGGGGGGGGGGGGGGAGGGGGGTCGGGGTGAGTGGCCACCGGAAGGCTGCAGACCGCTAACCGGGGCTGAGTTGTGACTCCCTGAGGCCGCAGACCCTGGACGCTTCCCAGGGCGCCCTGGTCACGGCTCCGCCAACAGCTGAGGCTCTTGGAGCGCTGAGTCAGCCCGAGGGGTCCCGAGGCTTCTCCCGCCAATTCTGGTTCTCCCCAGCTCTGCAAGGGCCTTGCGTGTTGGCTTTCTCTTCCTTCCTTCCTTCCTGTTCTTCTTTTCAAAATAAAATTAGGCCTCCGGAAACAATCTCCATTTCAAAATGGTTTTAAGAAATCGATGTTACGAGGGCGCCTGGGTGGCTCAGTCACTTTAGCCTCCGACTCTTGGCTGCCGCTCAGGTCGTGATCTCGCGGTCCGTGGGTTCAAGGCCCGCGGCGGGCTCTGCGCTGACAGCTCAGGGTCTGCTTGGGACTCTCTCTCTCCTTCTCTCTGTGCCCCTCCCCTGCTTGCACATGCTTGCACTCTCAAAGAGATAAGCATTAGAAAAAAAATGTCCTAACGAATCTTAAGAAATTAAAATCCTAAAATCATTTGCTCCAAGTGTCTTAAAGTTAAGAAATCACCTCCGGAAATCCCAGTCCCAGAAACAACCACTGTGAACGTTCTGGTGTGTTTCCTTCCCGATTTTTTTTCTGTTCGCAAGCACCTTATTGTTTTTTTGTTTTTGTTTTTACCTAGAAGGGATCAGACCCCCTGTATTGTCAGGCTAATGGTTTTTTTCCAGCGAGCCACAGCTGGCGGAGGTGCTTCCAAGCCACGTCCGATGTGGCCACGCCGTCATCCACGTGATGGCTCTGCACTGTCCCCCCTGTGTGGACAGACCACCGCTTCTAACCCAGCTGACGGACGTCCGGCCTGCTTCCCGTGCTCTCTGCTGTGATAAACAACGGAGCAGAGAACATCTTTGCACAAGTCCGTGTGCTTTCCCGACAGTTTCGTAAGGCAACTTCCCTTCAGTGGGCCGGTCACAGCAGCACATCAGCCCCTGGTGACATGGGCCCCCCGCGGCCTCCAGGGCGGCCGGGACGAGCCCCCCTCCCCTTACCTCGCAGGGTCACAGCTGATGCAACCCCCGCCTGTCCGTCCAACCTCTTGTTCCTCCTCGTTACCCATCACGCGCTGGCTTCTCCGTTTCGGGGACGCCCTGAGACGACCCCGGACCCCCGGCTGACGTGTCTTCCCGTTCGTGTGTGTGGCGGGGGCGGGGGGGTCTCCCTGTCGCTCAGCCCAACGCACAGATGCCGCCTCCCTGACCGGGGCTTCTCCACCACTGCGTCTACAGCTGCTGCCTCCCCACGCTGCTCTGTCCCATGTCCCTGCGTCCCTCAAAGGACCCGTCGCTCTCTGGGATTATCTCTTACACCTACGTAGCCGTTTAGCCCCTACCACCAGCCTAGGCTCCGTGAAAGCGAGAACGCCACCCGCCCCGTTAACCCCGTGTCCCCAGCACGCGGCCCGTGCCTGGCACACAGTAGGTGTTCAGCTTCACACTGGCCGGATGAACAAATTCAGAAATGGGTTCACAACCCATCGAGGGATTCCTAAAACCCCTTTTCTGAACATTGCCCGGAGTTGCTGTGCGACGGGCGCTCCCTTCTGTGTCTGGGCGTCCCAGGTAGTCCAGAGAGGATCGAGGGCGAGGTGTAGAGCCGGAGGGCGGGCGGGCCGGTTTACGGTCCATCAGTCACACCCACGCTTCAGACCCGCACAGCCGCCCACAGGCCGGCAGGGCTGGAGCTCAGTAAGCGTTTGGGGCGCGAACAGATGGGGAGCCACCCAGAGGCTTTTTTGAGGAGCCCAAACCTGGAGGGATTCTTGGCCTGAGACGGCGGCCGAGCCCCACGCTTGTGGTGCCGACCCCCTGGGCGACGGCCGCGCGCTGGTCTGATGTGTTAAGAAACACACGTCCCGTTCGGCGGGCCTGCCCTCGCTCCCGACGTGGGCGGGCTGCTCGATGGGGGTGCTTGGTGGGGGTCGGCAAGTCACGCGGGCACCTCGGGTGCTTGGCCGGATGACCTCCTGAAGGGCCCCCCGTCCCCGGGTCGTTTGGGGCCCTGTGACGCGGAGAACCCCCTGCCCCGTTTGCAAAACGTACAGTAGTAAGTCAGAGACACGAGCCCTGGTATTTTCCCCAGTGTGGCTTGCCCTCCGTGAGGAATGGCCGAGAGCCTTGCGGCCCTGGGTGGTTCTTCCAGACTGTTCATCTGGGCAGAGGATCTGGGGAAGTCTCGCAGCCCAGAGGCCTGAGGAGGGCCCTGGAACCTGAGCTTTCCAGAAACCAGCAGGGCAGCCGGGGTAACCGCGGCCCCGGCACGGCCACTGTCCCCCTCCGCGGTCGGGGGGAGCTGCTGGCACGGAGGCCGGCGGCCCCCCTTCTGCTCCGTCTGGACTGCCTGGCTTTTCCTCGCAGCCCCATCTCGCCAAGTGCTCCCATCGGATGCCCGTTCCAGAAGTTCAGCCCCGGGGTAGCCAAGAGCACGAAGCTGCCATGAGGCGAGGGGAAAACAGGCAGGTATTCCGAGCGGCCTGCTTCCCGAGGGCCGCCGCCCTGGCCGAGAAGTCTGAGAGCGCAGGGGCCCTGCGGTCCCGCAGTTTCCAACCCGGGCCCCTCTCAGCGGGAGGGGAGACCCCCCACAGGAAGTCACGGCGACGTCACGGCCAGGCTGTTACTCCTCTGCTCAGACTCATTCACGGGGACGAGCAAAATGCAAATGAAAGCTCCGTTTGGACGCCCCTCCCTACTTGTGAATGGCCCAGAACCAGAAGCCGGATCCCACACGCCGCTGGCCAGCTGGTGGGCTGAACGGGCCGCCGGGCGTGTTGTTGATGGGACCAGTCGGTCGCTGGAACCTTCCGTCGGGCAAGCCGCCCGGCTTGCACAAGCACGTGTCCTGCGATCCAGCCGTTCTAGTCCTCGGGGCTGATCCACGGGTGCCCTCAGACCTGTGCAGAAAGTCCCGTGCCCCCCCGTGGCACCGTTGACGAGAGCGGAGTATTAGGGACCTGCTAAGTGTCCGTGAACAGGGACCCGGTCAGCTGCCGCTTCACTACAACCGAGTACTATGCAGCTGCCTACGAAGCCGTGAGACGGCAGGTGCTGGCGACACCATGGGGACCCTGCCCGCCCCTCACGTGCGGCAGGGGCGGGGGGGGTCACGTCCGGCGGTGCGGCTGCTTTGGGAAACCGTCTGGAGGCTATTTAAGAAAGAGCCGTCACGTAACGTGTGACCCCGCAGGTGCGGCTCCTAGCCGTCTGTCCCCGAGAATCGGCCGACACGTGTGTCCTTACGGACACGTCATCGACAGACGTTCGCAGCAGCGTTCCGCCCTGGGAGCCCGAAGCGGACGGGGTGTAAAGACCCCTCACCCGGGGGATGGGTGAAGAAAATGTGGGCCGTCCCCCGAAGGGCGCGTTACGCAGCCCTAACGAGGGATGAAGCGGGGACCAGGCCACCACGGGGGATGGGCCCCAGAGACACCAAGCTGCGCGAGACGAGCCAGCGGCACGAGGCCCCGTCGTGTGTGATTCCGTTTACGCGAAGTGTCCGGGACCAGCCGGTCTATACGCACGGAAGGTGGCAGGGCCCGTGGGAGGGGAACTGATCCAAACTGGGCGCGGGTGCTGTTTTCTTGGGGGTGTTTGTGGAGGGGACTCCACAAGCCCGTAAAGTCACTAACAATCACTGGGCTGGACACCGAAAAGGGGTCAGTTTGGCGGCTTTGTTACAATCAGCAGCGCTGTCTTGCTTTTGTTTCTGTTGAAAGCCTTCAGTTAGCTGCGGGATTTAACCCCTGCCTTGAGAGGGTGGCTGTTACCTACCGGATGCGCGACCTGGGGCGGCTGCGTGACCTCGGGGGAGTCCTGCTTCCCTCTCACTGCCTCGGCCTCCTCGCCTGCGCGCCAGGGTCCCTCGCGCAGCCCCCGGGGAAGAAGGCCAAAGGCGCGTACAGAGCGTGCGTCCTCCGAGCCTAGCCCGTGTGCTGTTTCCGTCACGGCGGCTCAGGCGTCCTCGTCACGATGCTGTCCTGCCGATCGGTCAGCCAGACGGCCACCGGTCGAGCCGGCGGGGGGCAGCCGATGCCAGGCAGCGGTCTCGGAGGGTGCGCTCGGTTCAGACAGGCTGGGGCCGGCGACTCCCGGAGTTCAAGGCGAACGAGTTAGCGGCCCTGCCTGACCTAGATTCCCCTGCCCCCCGCCCCGGGCCGGCTTGCGGAAAGAGTGGAGCCTGCCAGCTGTTCCTGGCAGGGGCACGCCGTGTGTCCAGCAGTTGCGGGCAAGTGTCCCTGGGCCACGATGCTTCCGCCCTGGGGCCAGGGGACACCCAGCTCCCCCTTCCCGGCTGCCTGTGAAACACCCTCCAGACCTTGCGGTAATGTGGCCTCTGCCTTCTTTTTCAGCCTGAGGACCCCTCGCGACGGAAAGGCCTTCCGGATCTTTGCCGTCAGGCAGTGAATTCCCAGCGCTGGGAGAAGGGGGCGTCTTCGAGAGGGCTTCAGGGTTTTGCTTTTTACTTTTATTTTGTCCCTTGGTGGGGGGGGGGGGGGGCCGGGGGGCGGGGGATGTAGAGAGGCGGGAAACTTCCCGTCAATGGCGTTCAGTGTCACACCCTTTGTGCCTTTGTCTGAAACCACACGGAGAAACCGCGCCCTTGGGGTCCCGGCCGGACGGCTGGCGCCTGGCCCTGCTGAGGCCGGGGTCTCGGTCCGAGCGCCCCCTCTGCAGGGACAGTCGCCAAGGTGCTCCTTCCCGGTGCTCTTTGGTGGGGGGTGGGGGGGTGGGTGGGGAAGGTTCCAGGCCTGCGGACGTGGCAGGACCCGGAGCTCACGCGGGGAGGTGGGCGGGGGCGGGAAGGGGCTTAGGGAGCATCCAAAGGGTTTCAGGAAGGGAGTGGAAGGTGGTTATTTAAAAACTTTGAAAACACAGTCCGTCCCCACCAGTGGAGCAAAATGGGTTTAATGTTTGCTGGTCAGACAAGTGGGCCGGAACGAGGGGCCGGGGACGTGAGGCCCGGGCTCGGCCCTGGTCCCCGTCCTCGCCGGCACCCTGCCTCGCACAGGCTGGTTCTGCGGACGGCAGGGCTGGCTTCTTTAGGGTTCCGCAGTAACCCCAGAGATTTATCTCGTCTTCGTCCTTCCCTGTGTCCGCGTGGCCCGTCTGTTTGCTGCCGTGACCTTTGGTCTCCTTGAGGACAAATGAACCAGGATCCTTTCTTTGCCCCCTCCCCCCCCACCCCCCCCCCCCCCCCCCCCACCCGCCGTGGCCCTCGCCCCAGCCCAGACTGGTTTATGCACGATGTTTCCCACCGGGGCTTTGCTTTGCGAGCGGTTCTGTCGGCAGCCCCACCTTTTAATTTTCTTTTTTTTAAACAAAACTCTTAGCGCCCGTCGGTTCCACTGTTTCGTTGCTGCCCTGAAAAAGTGGCAGTCAGATGTGCAGAGTCCCCATCCGTGGGATGACCCAGTTTTTAGCAGCGGGAGGAATGGATTCCTCAGTACATTCCTCGCCGAGGTTAGCAGCTCTGGGAAGGGGGGGGGGGGGGGGGCGTGTGTGGTTATGAAACCGTCCTGCGGCATAACAGCAAAAGAAGTAACACTCTAGAAGGATTTCTCTTCCTGTTTTTGTGGAACGGCTCTTGCCAGACGTTCCTTCGGCTCTGAGGAGCGTGGGGCTCTCTGGTTTCCACTTTACAAAAGTCCTTCACAAGCCCAGACCGAAAACCCACAGGGCAAGAAAACACCCTTTGGTAAATAGCGTTGCTCCGCAGAAGGTGACGCTCTCCCCGCCTCCCCCGGGCCGGCCGGCCGGCCGGCAGGTCACCTCTGGGAACACCGGTTTCAAATCCGATCTCACCTGGCCGTCAAAATATTTGAAAGGCCAAGGGACCGGCAGACGGGTTTTTTGTCGTGTTTCGTTTTGTCGGGGTTGTTTTAAAGCAAAGCTGGGATGGTCTGGACAAGGAAGCCTCCCCCGGGGAAGGAAGTTCCAGGCTGCTGCTGAGTGCATCCCGACTAAATTCACAGACTGGAGGTGAATGGCTTCCCTCCGGCCGGAGGGAGTTGGTGAGAGCCGTGAAACTCTTCGCGCGCGCGCAGAGCTGAAAGTAGCCGCTTCCCCGCTCTGTGCCCTGTGGGCTTCTAGTAATTCGTAGGTTTTGACGTCTCCACCCCGAATGTCAGAGCAGAAGAATTTGGGCAGCCTGTCAGTGACGGGTCTCGCTACAGCCCAAGATCTGGGTACTTGGAAACTTCTGGATTCTAAGGGTTGTGCTGCTGGACTTCCGCTTCATCAGACTCTGCTCTGTGACCGGCCTTCGGCGGCTGTGGCTTTGCTGGGGCTCCGGGCTTGTTAGAAGTCGAGGCGGCCCCGCGGGTGTCCCGGGGGGGCTGGCCGTGAAGGCGTCCCACCCAAGGGAGAGTCTGAAACTTCCGGAACGAGTCCAGCCCATCATCTGGGGGCTCGTTTGGGTTCCCGAATGTCTCCTGAACTGGCCCGTCTAACAGGATAGACAGATGCCCCCTCTCTCCCCACCCCGAACCAGAACTCGTCCCTGGAAACAGGCCTACGAAGGCAAGGCCCCTGTAGTCAGAGACCATCTCTAATTTCGCGTGTTAGCAGGACCCGTTGCCCCCGTGGGCACTTGACCCACAAAAAGATGACGAATCAGGCCAGCGGTGTTTCAGGGTCTGACCCTGCCCCCCAAACAAAAAGGTTCTCGTTCCCTTCAGATTTTTGCCCCCCACCGTGTTCTGATTTTTTTTTTTATATTGTCTGTAGGCTCACCCAGCCCGCAGCTTACATGTGTGCTTTTTTCTATGAAAAATGATGTATTTTACTACTTCCTGTGTACAAAAAGTTTATTGTAAATTGTGTGTGTGTGTGTGTGCGCTTTGCACGAACGGGGACCACGTTGCCTTTGTTTTGTTGTTTCAATAAACCCGGTTTGATTTCTAACGTGTCTCTGTGACGTGTCTCTCGTCGGGCACACCCGAACAGTCTGTGAAATGAAACGTTGGAAACCACCTCGGAGGCGCCTCGCGACTGTGTGTACCCCACGCGCGTGACACACGGGCGCGGGGGTGCCAGTCCCTGCGGTATTTTCTGGAGCCTCGGGGAGACCCCCACCTGACAAGCGGCAGGAGGGGTGTGCCTTAAAGGGTGCAGACCGGGCATGGGTTGGGGGAGGGGGGCTGCCAAAATGCAGCTTCTAGCCCAGCGGGTCTGGGCGGGGGCCCGGGCGCCTGCACGTTTCACGAGCTCCCGGTGACGCACACCCTGCTCGCCCCCGGAGCATATGCTGTGTGTCAGCCGTTCGTCCGCTCGGGCGGCCACAACCAAGCACCACGGACCCGGGGGCTCAGACGACAGAGATTTATTTTCTCCCAGTTCTGGAGGCTGCACGTTCACGGTCAAGGCGTCCGCAGGGCTGGGAAGCCGGCCACCTTCCCTTGTTTCTTGTCTCTGTGCGTGCATCCCTCGTGCTGCTGCTTGCTCGCTTTCCTTTTATTTAAACAAATTTAAAACTGTTTATTTACTTTTGAGAGACAGAGCACAAGTTGGGGAGGGGCAGAGAGAGAGGGAGACACAGAATCGGAAGCAGGCTCCAGGCTCCGAGCCATCGGCACAGAGCCCGACGCGGGGCTCGAACTCACGGACCGTGAGATCGTGACCTGAGCCGAAGCCAGAGGCTCGACGACGGGGCCACCGAGGTGCCCCTGGCATTTCTTGCTAGAGGGACACCAGTCCTATCGGATGAGAGCCCTACCCTTATGATCCCACTTAACCTGAATTAATGAACTCCTTAGAGGTCCCGTCTCCGAGTACAGTCACTTTGGGAGTCAGGGCTTCAACATATGGACTTGGCGAGCGAGGGGGGACACCAGCCCCTTTCGGTGAGATCGCAGGCGTGTGCTCCCGCGCGTCCCAATACGCGGCAGTCACGGGAGGCTTTCGGGGGCTTGGCTGCTCTTTTTGTCCACCGTCCACACTTCTGCCTCTGTGTGCTCAGTCACCTCTGTTTACGTTCTTTTCATTGAGGGTGCGATAGCTTTCCTCCGTAATGAGTATGTTTAGGCTGTTAAAATGTCGATGTGATTAAAAATATTACACGAGCGCTTGTGCGACTGGAGCGCACAACTCACGGAGACTGGACAGCGACCGGTGTTGGGCGAATGCTGGTTTCTGACGAGTGCAAGGTCAAGTCCGTAGAAGTGCCCTGATGGCGGTTCTCACAGGCCACCGGGAAGCTTCCTCCCCCCGCACCCCCGCCCTGGATCTGCAGCCCCTTCCTCCTGCATCCAGAAGTCCTGATGTCCCGGGACACCTCAGTCCTGCGCTGTCCCCAAACCTCCGCATGTCAAAGCTGCAGCATCGGCTGGGGGAGGCAGCGGCCGCGAGGAGGGGGCCGGCTTCCTCCTCGTAGAAGTGACCGGAGACGGGGCAGAGTAGTGTGAGTCCGTGCTGAGTGTCGTGGGGGCTCAGCACCAGGTGACACGGCGGCAGAGAGCACGCACCGGGGAGTCCCTGGGCCGTCCCCACCTCTTATGGGCACCGGGACCTCAGACAAGCCACTCTGCTCTCTGGGGCCTCACGGCGATCACCGGTGCCCAGGGGGGGGGGGGAGTAAATCAGATGATTCCTGGGGGCTCCTGGCGGACATCTCTACAAATCCTCCCCCCCCCCCGGGCCCCGGGCCGGCCCCCCCCCCCCCCACGCCGTCCCCATGCTCAGGGCTTGAGACAGGTCGCTGGGCGGGACTGGAAGGGCCTTCTTCCCACGATGTTCGTCTCATCAGGGAAGAAATCGTTCCCGGTGTCACCCACTGGGGCTGTTCTAAATCCCCTTCCCCATAAACAGGCCACATGCCCACTCCTAGGCTTGTCCCAAGCAGCCACTGGAAGAACGGGAAGGCTCCCTAAGAGCAGAGAGAGGGCCCAGGGGGCCTCGGAGGCTGTTTTGAACATGTGCAGACTTGCTTCCGTAGTGGGGGCACAAAGAGTTACGAGTCAGGACCCAGATGTGCCTGAGTTCGAATCCCAGCTCCACTCCGCCGGCTGTGGGAGGCTGGGCGAGTTCCTGAAGCTCTCTGAGCATCACGGCCTCCTGCGTAAAAGGGCGATGGTCACGGTGTCTGTTCCACTGGGTGGTTATGTGGACTAGGTGGGGCCACGCTTGAGATGTGCTCACACCTGGCGTGCACGCATAGTTACTCTGTTGCTCCACGGGTAGAGCTAGCGCCCACGGGTGCGGGCCCCAGGGAGACAGAGCTCTACGTAATTGGCAGACCTGCCCAAAGATGAAAGTGCTCCCATGGAGAGGGAGTGAGCTCCCTGTCCCTAGAAGAATACAAGCAGAAGCCGGAAGAATCTCGGACCGGAATGACTTTAAGGCCCTTCCCTGATTCTGGCTGCTGGCATAGACCCGCCCTTCCCGACGCTGCCCTGCCCAGAGCGCCCTGAGGACCCGGGGACGGTGACGTGGGGCCACGAAATCCTGAGACCGTGACAGCTTCGTTCTAAAAGAAGGAAAGAACAATGGCCTCGTGGCTCTGTAGGGGGTCCTAGAGCCATCATGTCGCGTGGGGTCCCTTCCGTCGGCCACCTGTCCACTTTCCAGTGTTTCACACCAAACCGAAACCTGTCCTGAACCGCCAGGGGGGCTTAAAAACTCGGCCGGATCCTTAAGGGGCACCTGGGTGGCTCGGTCGGTTAAGCGTCCCATTCTTGGTCTCATCTCAGGTCACGGTCCCGCGTTTCGTGGGTTCGAGCCCCCGTGCTGAGCGCGCGGAGTCTGCTTGGGATTCGCTCTCTCCCTCTCTCTCTGCCCCTCCCCGGCTCGTGCGCGCTCTCTCTCAAAATAAATAGATAAGCTCAACAAAAAGCTTAAATTTATCGTGCTGCTCCCTCTGTCGGCACCTGGCCTGGCTCTGAGGTCGGGGGAGAGACGTCTCCGTGTGCCCCGTGGCTGTCACCACGAGGGACGGGGATGGGCCGGCCCGGCAGCAAGCAGCCTGTTTTCACCTCCTTATGCCATGGTGGCTGCGGTCTCCAGGGGGTTTCCTCCCCGTCCCACCGCCCCCAACACCCCCCTGACACGGGAAGGCGGCAAAGGAATTCGCCTACGCAGGTGCCCCTATGTGCCAGGTCCGGGCTGGGCTGCAAATAGATGCTGCCGTTTAACAAGGTCATCCCGAAATCATTGTCGCGCTATATGCTGACTCATCTGGACGTACATGTTAAAAAACAAAAAATAAAATTAAAAAAAAAAAAAAAAGTAGACGGTCGGTCTGCGAGCCATAGTTCACTGGCCCCTTCTCTCGAGTGTGGACACTGCAAACCGGTTTCTTTGCGTGTCTGGTAATTTTAGGTTGTATCTCGGCATTGTGTTAACGCACCAGGGAGACTAGACTGTTCTGCTCTGAGCGGGAAATTCACTTGGCCTGGACTCAAAATTCTGACACCGAACGGCCTGCAGCCGAGATCGTTTGGGTTTTGCCAGCCTTCGCTGCTCTGGGCTTTTGCGCAGTTCAAGGGTCAGCGGAGACTCGGACGCGCCCCCTGCAGCGCTCTCCTTTCTGGGGGGTCCCCCCCCCCACTTTCTGGGTCCTCTGGTCCTAAGACCTCAGGTTCTTAGCAGTTGATGATATAGTGGCAGCACCCGCCCTCCCGGCTTCGGCCTCGGGGAAGGGAGGCCCCGGAGGGACAGCCCAAGAGCAA